CCCTTTTCCTTTACGGAAGAAGACGCGACGCGCAGCTCGCCTGAACCTCCTAACTGGTTTTGCCATGCGTCGCCTCCACCTAGTTTGACGATAATAGCCTAAGTACGTAGCACCCCGCAATTGCGGATAAGAGTGAGGGGGCGGGCGCGGGCGACGCGGGCGTCGTCAAGCCGGCGGACCTCGTGGCCCCCACCTTCCCTGTCGATGGCGCCATCCTCCTCCTCCTCCTCCTCCTCCTCCTCCTCCTCCTCCTCCTCCTCCTCCTCCTCCTCCTCCTCATCATCATCATCATCATCATCATCATCATCATCATCATCATCATCATCATCATCATCATCCTCTTCCTCGTCCTCGTCCTCGTCCTCATCGTCATCGTCATCCTCCTCCTCCACCTCGTCCTCCTCCCCTCTCTTCCTCGTCCTCCCTCCCCCCCTCGTCCTTCCATCATCGTCCTCCCATTGTCGTCCTCCCCCTCATCGGCCTCCATCATCGTCCTCCCATTGTCGTCCATCCATCATCATCATCCTCCCCCTCCTCCCCCTCCTCCCCCTCCTCCCCCTCCTCCCCCTCCTCCCCCCCTCCCTCCTCCTCCTCCTCCTCCCTCCTCCTCCTCCTCCTCCTCCTCCTCCTCCTCTCCTCCCCTACCTCCTCCTCCTCCTCCTCCTCCTCCTCCTCCTCCCCTCCTCCTCCTCCTCCTCCTCCGCCTCCTCCCTCCTCCTCCTCCTCCTCCTCCTCCTCCTCCTCCTCCTCCTCCTCTCTTCCTCCTCCCTCCTCCTCCTCCTCCTCCTCCTCCTCCTCCTCCTCCTCCTCCTCCGCCTCCTCCTCCTCCTCCTCCTCCTCCTCCTCCTCCTCCTCCTCCTCCTCCTCCTCCTCCTCCTCCTCCTCCTCCTGTTCCTCCCCTCCTCCTCCTCCTCCTCCTCCTCCTCCTCCTCCTCCTCCTCTCCTCCTCCTCCACCTCCCCTCCCCTCCTATCCTCCTCTCCTCCTCCCTCTTCCTCCTCCTCTCCTCCTCTCTTCCTCCTCCTCCTACCTCCTCCTCCCCTCCTCCTCCTCCTCCCGCCTCCTCCTCCTCCTCTCCTCCTCCTCCTCCTCCTCCTCCTCCTCCTTCCTCTCCACATTATCATTACATCCTCTCTTCTTCCGCGTCCTCCTCGTTCCCTTTTTACTCCTCCTGCCTCCCCCTCCTTTCCCAAGATAACGGCAACGCGATCTTTCTTTCCATGGCATGCTCCCCGACTTCTCAGATCAAGGCAACTGACCAGGGCAAAGTTGCTGGACGGGCTGGTGTGGATGCGCGGGGCTTGAAGAGGTCGTTGCGGGCTCAGACGGCATGCAAAAATCCGCCGCCGCGTTTGTGCGGCATTGGTTTCTTCAGTGAACGTGGTTTGGGTCGCGGGTGGGACGCGGGTTCCCCACCTCCACCTGGAAGGAATGCAAAAGCAGCCCGCCGCAGGCGCAGAAAAAATTGGTTTGTACACTGAACGTGGTTTGGGACGCGGGTGGGCCGCGGGCTTTCCACCGGGAACGAATGCAAAAGATGCCCGCCGCAGGCGCCGAAAAAAATTGTGTGTACCCTGAACGTGGTCGCGGGTGGGCCGCGGGCTCTCCACCTGAAACGAATGCAAAAGATGCCCGCCGCAGGCGCCGAAAAATGTGGTTTGTACCCTGAACGTGGTTTGGGTCGCGGGTTGGTCGCGAGTTGGTCGCGGGGTGGGTCGCGGGCTCTCCACCTGGAAGGAATGCAAAAAAAGCCCGCCGCAGGCGCCGAAAATGGTGGTTTGTACCTTGAACGTGGTTTGGGTCGAAGGTGGGTCGCGGGTGGGTCGCGGGGTGGGTCGCGGGTGGGTCGCGGGTGGGTCGCGGGTGGGTCGCGGGTGGGTCGTGGGGTGGGTCGCGGGGTGGGTCGCGGGGTGGGTCGCGGGGTGGGTCGCGGGGTGGGCCTCGGGGTGGGTCGCGGGTGGGTCGCGGGTGGGTCGCGGGTGGGTCGCGGGTGGGTCGCGGGGTGGGTCGCGGTGTGGGTCGCGGGCCGGGTTGCGGGTGGGACGACGACAACAAACAACAACAACAACAACAACAACAACAACAACCAAACAAACAAACAAACAAACAAACAAACAAACAACAACACACAACAACAACAACAAACAAACAAACAAACAAACAAACAAAAACAACAACAACAACAATAACAACAACAACAACAAACAACAACAACCACAACAACAACACCAATAACAACAACAACAACAACAACAAACAAACAAACAAACAAACAAACAAACAAACAAAAACAACAACAACAACAACAACAACAACAACAACAACAACAACAACAACAACACGAATCCGCACCGCGGAAACCCATTACAGCCACGCACCCAGGGACAGTGAATGACCGTTCGGCCCCCTCACTCTGATAAGTATTGTGTAGCTGCGTCGTCACTGGCGGGCAGGTCTGACCAGTCGATGTTTTCGGCGCCAGTAGAAGAGACTGCATCGGTATCCATACCAGAATCGAACACGTCGCCATCTCGTTGGCTGGGCGAACCCCAGAGGGTAGTCGCGCCAAGTGGAGTGCAGCTGGCCGCCGACGGCCAGCCCATGTTTGAGCCAAACGCCTGTTCGTTGTCGTTGTGGGCGTCTTAGCGCCGTGGACTCAATGGGGGTCTCCGTCATCCCAGATGCCGTTCGGCCTGGCTGCCGGTGCGTGGCTTACTCCGGCGTGGTAGGTGCCAGCGTTGCGTCCGCTGAAGATGCTCCCGATGCCCCCTGGGGAACGCTCAGCCAAGTGTCCATGGCTGCGCATTCGCTCCAGGAGTTGGTCGCACTGTTGTTGGGCACGGGGCGTCTGATGGTTCAGTGGCTGCATTAGTTGGGCTGATCGGGAGGTACCATCCCCAAGGCACGAAACAAGATCGAGGATCTGGAAATTGGGTATGCTGAAGCCTGATGGGTCCGCTTCCAGTCTGGACATCTCGAAGCGGGCCAATACTGAGTCGATGCGCTCACCTTTGCCGACTCTGAAGTCGATGAGGGCTGTCCCTGAGGTGAGCTGTCGCTCGCCCTCTAGGTTTTCACATTTGGTGCTTAGTAGGTACATGATGTATGTGACTCCATCGGTGCGTCTCCCCTGCAGTGTGGCACCGTAATTGATGATGGTGGATGGCACCCTCATGGCTGATGTCCTAGCGAATCCTCCGAGGCCGCGCTGAAAAGCAGCTGCCTGCTGGGGTGGAGTCACACTTCCGCTCGCGAAATGAAGCCATGCGTGCGCTTCGCGAACAAAGTCGCGGAAGGGTGCGTTACCTACGGGGTCCCAACAGGGGACCCCGAGTTCATGTTTCACCCAGTCCTCCTCCTCCTCCTCCTCGCACGAATGACACGGCAAGGCCTAGGCACACCCAGATAGTTCCAAAGATCGCGACCTAAGCATAGCGCGTGGTCAATACTGGAGTTGCTGATGTTAGGTTGCGTATCATCGGATAGCGTCGCGTCCGTCGGGTTGCGACTGGGTGTCTGGTTTGACGTGGCCATCGGCTTGCGGATAGATATCGGTGTTTGAATCGTGCGTGGCGTATGGCCACGCGATGGGGAGATGGAGGTATAGGACTGTAAGTTACCAATTGGTTCGAGAGTATTGGGAGTAGAGTGGCTGTCAGCCGGCGCAGCCGCTACCAAGTTAAAAACAAGGGTACAGGGCTGCACCATGAGGTCATGAGCTGAGAACCCTACTCTTACGATAACGTCGGCGACGTATCGAGGTATCCCACAACTCATCCCTTGATGGCAAGCAAGGCGAGGGGTAAGAGAGGGAAGCCATGGGATCGGGAGATGGACATAGCAGGACGTCTGTTTGCGGCTCGTGGCAAACAGAGCCGCACACTGTCGTGCAACTGGCACATAGGACAGCGCTGCCTTGAGCCAAGACAGCGTCGGATATAGCGTTCGCTATACAGCGTCTCCTTAAACCTCGTTTAAATTCCAAGACGGTCCCAAGATGCCTCCAAGAACACCAAGATGACACAAGAAGTGCACAAGAGGCCCCTAAGACAGCCCAACAGGCCAGCAAGAGCTCCCCCGGGAAGGCCCGCAGAGGCAACGATCACTGATTGTCCTTCGATGGTCGAAGGATCTGGGCATTTGCTTTACAACGGACTTCCGACAGCCCAAAACTGCCCAAGAGGCCCCCAAGATTGCCGCAAGATCGCCGAATGGCCTCCAAGATGGCCCCACGACTGCCCAAGAGGCTCCCAAGACGGCCTCCAAAGAGCCCAAATCCAAGACGCCCAAGATGGCTTCCAAGACGACCGTGAAGCGCCTCAAGAGGGCCCCAAGACGGCGCAAAGAGGCTCCCATGACGGTTTCCGACGGCGTCGGACGGGCCAGGAACGCCGTATGACGGCCACTGAGGCCCCCAAGAAGCCCCGAAAGGCCCTGCAGAGGCCCAAGGAGGCCTCCAAGAAGCCTCCAAGAGGCCTCCAAGAGGCCCCCAAGAAGCTCCAAGGAGGCCCCAAGAATAACCCAAGAAGCTCCCAAGAGGTTTCCTCAACCTTCTCCTCATCCTCCTGTTTCCTCCCTCTCCTCATCCTCCTCTTCCTCCCCCACGAGCTCCCTGACGGGCTTCCACAACGGCTGGTGGAACGCGTGATCCAATCGCCTGGTCAAACGTTGCCCAGACGTTTAGCCACATAGGCTATATAGGCGTATCCTAGAAGGCAGGGGGGGCGGTGATTCGCCGTAGGCATCCTCGATACTCAGACCAACAAACATTCAGACACACTCGTGCTCAGCGGCTCATACCGAATTCACTACTACGCTTTGGGCGCTGGACAAAGAATGCACATGACTACGGGGATCTCCGCGTCGGAAAGTTATCGAACGACCGCCTTCGTTGAGCCTCGGCGACGAGCACGACAACGAGGAGCGCGGCGGCAAGAGCGGCGGGCGCGGCAACTGAGCGTCGGGCGGCAGCGGCGAGCGCGGCGATGGCGGCAAGGCGGCCTTGGGCGCGGCCGCCCGCGGCGCTGGGCCAGCGGCGGCTGGCCCAGCCTGTGCGGCGCAGGTCCGGATCTTAACTACTGTTGCCCCCTACACTGGGAATGTGAGAACACGGCCCCCTGGGGGGGAGTGGAACGGGGGGGATGAGATAGAGATGGAGACGGGGAGAAAGGGGGAGATAAGGGGGGGAGAGGGGCAAGGGGAACGAGGAGGATGAGGAGAAGACATGGACGAGCACGCGAGGGGAGGACGCTAGATACAAGGGGGACAAAGAGGCGAAGGGAGGCTTTTCCTCCTCATTGTCCGTATCCGTTTCTCGAACATCATCATCAGCAGCAGCATCATCAGCATCAACATCAGCATCAGCATCATCAGCATCAGCATCAGAATACTCACAAACATCATCCGCACCATCGTCGTCATCATCACCATCATCATTCTGATCATCACCATCACCATCACCATCATCAGCATCATCAACACCGTCACCTTCATCACCACCATCACCACCACCACCATTAGTATCATCGTAATCATCATCAGCAGCACCATCTTAATGATCGACAGCAGCCTCATCACCACCACAACCATCCTTCTGAACATCCCCCAATTCCTTCGGCGTCTCCTCATCCTCCGCCTCCTCCTCCCCATCTTCCTTATAAGCAACTCCTCCTGATCGCACCACAAGACGTGTGGCAGGGCGGCCGGGAAATCCCACCAGCCCTTTGGGCGACAGGTGATCTAATGAGGGTGGGTCTCTTTCCTCCTCCACGACCCCTCTTCCCTTCGGGGGGGGGAACCCTCCCCCTCCCCTCCCTGAGGTTTTTTTGGAAGGGCCGCGAGGTGTCAGAGGGTCGTTTTCTGGCCCCTGGGAAGGCCAATCTTTGACACCCCTCACGCGGACTGTGGCCCCCAAGGGGGATCCCCAAGATGCTCCAAGCGGCCCAGATACCGCTCCAAGACGGCTCGAGATGACCACGAAGCCTCCCAAGCTTCTTTCGTTGTTTGGCGGTGCGTGTCTCTTCCTCTCTCCCCCCGTCAACTCTCATGGGCATCGTTTCTGGATGGGCCGGTGGCGATTATTTGGTACGCGGGTGCGCGAAACGGGTCGAATGCCGGGCGAGGTTGGTGGGGATATTTCTTGGTAAGCGGGCGCGCGAGACAAATCGAACGCCGAGCGTGCTACGGCGGGCCGCGCCGGTAGCAAAGCGGCTGGTGGAGATACTTCTTTGGACGCGAGCGCAAACGGTACAGCCGCGCGCCGTCAAAACGAAGCAACAACGCAACGGCCTAAATTACGCACCAAGCGCACAGGAGCGAACTATGCTGCAGTTCCGGAAACGCGGAAGACCAGGAAAGGCTCCACGTCGACGTGCAGCACCAAAATGGCGACGAACAGGAAGCCGACGAACTCGAAGACCGCCATGACGCAGCCGGAGAAGACGACGAACGGGCGCGCAGGCGCTCAACGGAGGAGTTCTGGATCGCTAGGAGTGGGAGCGTGCCAGCGGCGGAAGCGCCACCACGGCGGGGGAGCAGGAGAAGCGACGCCAGGGCAACACAGGGGCAGCGAGGCTGGTGGGGATATGCGAAGCGTCAAGAAAATCATCATGATACTTCTCCTCTCCACTCTTGATCCTAAAGTTATTCTGTTACAAAATCTACGTGGACCGAGGAGTCATTTTTCAAATGTGGCTATCGGTTTAACGCAGCGTCGGTTCGCCTTGAAAGCTTCAACAGGTACAAGGATGAAGCCCGGAAGGTCGTTGTGTGGCTCTGGCTTGGTCGCCGCGAACATTCGAATTGAACGAAACTGAAACAATGACAACGGTGGCTGGCGAAGCATTTTCAAAACGTGTCCCTCCTTAGCGCCACGCGCGTTCGTCCTATTTTTTCAACGCCTCGCAGGTAAAGGGCAAGTGGCTTCAAAATGGTTGTTCTCGCCTGAGCGCCACGCAAATTCGCCTTAAGGCATCAAACAGCTACAAGGATGGAGGTTTGTGTTGTTGATGTGGTTTGCGCCTCACCGCCGCGAACACTCGTCTTACAATATTCGGACAGCTACAATGATGCAGGGCGAACCCTTTTCAACATGGGGTTCTCCCCTTAATTTGCGCCACGCACGCTCGTCGTAGAAACGTTCAACGCCTAGATGAATTGAGGGCAAGCGAATGGTTTTCAGAATGTGGCTCCCGCCTCAACGCCGTGCCCATTCGACTTGAAAGCTGTCAATGCTCCGTCTCCAGATGGGACTCTAGCTTGAGACGCCATCCGAAGTATGACCACGTGCATAATAAATCCAACACGTACACAGATAGAGGGCGGCTCCATTTCAAAATGGGGCTCTTGCTTGAGATGTTCGGTAGCACTGCTTTGCAGCAGCGCTCATTTGTGCAACAGCTACACGAACGACGAAGGACGGCCGTGTTCAAAGAAGAGCTCTCGCTGGAAACTCAATGAACTGTAGGGTCACACCTTTTCGCATCACTACCCGCCTCGGCGCCGCGAGGCACCGAGTGGAGTGTCTTCAGGTCCTTTCGAGCGCCCTCTGCATTGAATGCAGAAAAACGGTTGTAAAGGTCCACATCCCCGAATCATGGGTGCTCTTGGGCACCGTCGGGGATTGTCACAGGACCCGCGAGGTTTCCCGCAAGATTCTCCCGCAGGCCAGGAGGCCCCAGGACGGGCCAACAGGGCCCCCAGATGCCCCAAAGACACTCCAAAAGGCTTCTGGGACGGCGCTCCAAAACGCTCAAGATACCCCTCGGGGCAGGCCCAACATTCCAAAATCTCGCAAACCCTTCTCACATTGTTCTATGAGTTTCGCATTACCGCCGGTTCTGTCTCGAGAGCGTCCAAGATTTCCCAGAAGGCCTCCAAGATGACTCCAAGACGGCCCACGCGCCCCAGAAAGGGGGCCAAAAGGGCTTCCAAGAGGGATACAAGAGGGGGAACCCGAACTGGCATATCCAGCCCTCCACCCCAAGATGGTGCCGAGATCCCCCCAGAGCCTCTTGCGGCGCCCCCAAGAGGTCCCAAGGGCCCCAGGAGGGCTACAAGAAGCCTTCAAGAGGCCTCAAAGAGGGCTCCACGACGCCCCAAAAGGCCCCCAAGAAAGCAAAAACAGACCACGAAGGGCCCTCCAAGGGGCTTGCAAGAGGCATCCCAAGAGATTTAAATATACACCCGACAAACCTCTGATCCACAGTCTGGCCAATGGCCTAAAGAAGGCGCCTCTACAGAGGCCCCCGGAAGGCACCCCAAGAGACCTCGTCAGGAATCCGACCAGCCTTTGGGTGGAGGTGGTCTAACAATTCTTCTCCTCCCTCTTCCAGACCCCCTTTATCCCCCCCCCCCCCCCGCACCCCCTTCCCTGGGTCTGGACGGGGGAGCGGGCCCGAGGTGTCAATCCCTCCCTCCCCCCTCCACACACCCCTCCACACCCCCCTCCACCCTCCCCCCATCCCCCACCCCACCCCCTCCTCCACCACCACTCCACCGCCCCCCACCCCGTTGCCACTGACCGTCTGGCCCCCTGCCGCGTCGTACTCCGCGCCGCTCCCGTCGGGGTCGATAGGGCGGTCGCTGCGCATCTCCTCTGGCACGATGGTGACTCCGGCGCCGCTGTCCACGGCTGCTTCTATCACCTCATACTCCTGGTCATACGTCGGCGAGTAGAGACCCGACACTTCCAATCCTTCCTTCTTGACTGGTACGCCTGGGATGTTGTATTCCTCCTCCTGTTCCTCCTCCTCGTGCTCCTCCTGCTCACAGCACCCGCATCCTCCTGCTGCTCCTGCTGCTCCTCCTCCTACTCCTGCTCCGCACAGCTGCCTCCTCTTCTGCCTCTCTTTTTTTTCTCTCTCTCTCTCTCTCTCTCTCTCTCTCTCTCTCTCTCTCTCTCTCTCTCTCTCGGTCTCTCTCTCTTTCTCTCTCTCTCTCTCTCTCTCTCTCTCTCTCTCTCTCTCTCTCTCTCTCTCTCTCTCTCTCTCTCTCTCCTCTCTCTCTCTCTCTCTCTCTCTCTCTCTCTCTCTCTCTCTCTCTCTCTCTCTCTCTCTCTCTCTCTCTCTCTCTCTCTCTCTCTCTCTCTCTCTCTCTCCATTTTCGGCGGGCGCTTCTTCGGCGGGCGTTTCTCTGTCGGCCCCGGCACGTTGGCGGGCCCACCAGCAGAGACCGCCAGCGGCGCGGGGGCGGTGTCTCCGACTCCGCTAAAGACGCTGTCCAGGCTCTCGAGCGCCGCCCGGGAGACGTCGTCAAGCGGCCCGGCGCCCTGCTCGGCCCTCTCCACCGCGCAGAGCTCGAGACCCCCCTCTTCCGGCTCCGGCTAGTCCTCGTAGTCCCCGGACGCCCCCCCTTCTCGCGGCCCTTCTTCGCCTCGCCGCCCTTGTCGCCGTTCTGCGCGCCCTTGCCGGCCTCGCCCGCGCTCGCACGCCAACAGCCCTTGCTCGCGCGCCCCTTTCTGCCACACACGCCGCACGGCCTGCCGTCGGAGTCGCGGCCCTTGCCACTCTTGCAGCCCTTGGCCATGCGGCCCCACTCCCAGCACTGGCCGCGGTAGCCCTGGAAAGGCTGTTTGCCCTTGCCGCCAGACGCCTCGCCCGCGCCCTTGCCCTTGCCTTCGCTCTTGCCCTTGCCGGCACCCTTTTGTAAGTTCCCGATGTCAATCGGCGTTGGCTTGTCGAGCTGGCCAGCCCGGCGCGCCCCCAGGTACTCGGTGACCTCATCCAGGACGCCGTCGCAGAAGTCAAACTGGTTTTGGTTCAAGTGCAAGCGCTGCTTCAGTGGGGTTCGGGAACATGGAGATCAAGACGGCTGTCTTGATGTCGTCGTCGATCGTCTTCTTGGCCCTCTGCTGGTGCCGGGTGAGATCCTGAGCCCATGCTTCGATGGCGCTGCTGAGGTTCTCAAACTTCTGCTCTGGCTAGTTCAGAACCCGCATAAGGATGGACCTCCTGCGCCCCTAGTTCATGGAGTCCCAGCGTCGGGCCAACCTCCTCCAGCTCTCAAAACCGCGGTACTTGTAGCTCTCGAAGTTGCGCACGATCTCTTCG